AACAGTGCTATGGAGAGAGAATCTTTATTTCATACAATTTTTTCGGAAGTTGCAATAGATAGAAGTATTATGATAAAGAAGAAATTTTCTGTATTTCAAATGAGTTTTTTTACGCTACTGATATTTTTATATTCATTAAATCTTTCCATAGCTCTAATTTATATTACATATACTATCTTGCACACTAATTTGGTGTCCATATCTTTGAAAACAGACAAGGAGTATATAGTGGTTTGAAAACAGCATGTTTTATTAACGTTTTATTAATAATTGCTAAGGCTTCTGGAAAATCATTACATTTATAAAATTATTAGAGGTTTTTAATTAGGTTACATTTGTAGAACAGTGCTATGGAGAGAGAATCTTTATCTCATACAATTTTTTCGGAAGTTGCAATAGATAGAAGTTTTACGATAAAGAAAGAAATTTTCTATATTTTGAATGAGTTTTTTTACGCCACTGGTATTTTTAATCTATTAAATCTTTCCAAAGCTCTAAATTATAATGTATATACTACCTTTCATGGAAATTTAATGCCTATATCTTTGAAAATGGAGGAGGAGTTATGTTTTGAAAACAATATGTTTAATATGTTCTTTATGTAAATTTCAGAAATCCTGTAAGTGATATGCAGATCACAAAAAAAATCACATAACCAATCAATATTAGTTTTGATTTTCTTGGAATGTCGCACACCAATATCATTACCCACTTTGCATAGTAATATATAGTAAAATATCGAATATTTTTCAAAAACAATAATAAAACCCTTTATAATGCGGATCTTTTTATTTCAAATATAATAATGTTCCAGAAACGCGCGTTTTTTAAAATTTAGCCCAAGTATTGATTCCTGGTGTAGATGTATCAGTATTTGACACATATAGAGCTATTTGATTTTTGACTGAACTGACATGTTTTTGTTTCTAAGGCCAACTATTTGGTGAGAGAGAATCATTATTTATTTTTAAACTTATTTCTGCGTAAAGAAACTAAAAATTCTAACAACACTAATCTTTAATATCTTTAATAGAACATCATCTGGAGATAATGATGTGAAATTAGTTTATTTAAGTTCTTATGTAGCTTCTTCATAAGTAAATGCTGATTTATTAATAATTTCAACTTCATTTTCTAATTTTAATTGATTTGCAGATTAAATTAAAAATAATAAAGCAGCAACATTTTTGAAAAGTTCAATTAATATTAGGGTAACCAATGATACTCCAGTCTAAGGAAAAACAAATTATTTGTAGTAATTTTTCAATTAAGCACACATTAACTCCTAAATGTTAAATTGTGATCATTATCACATCTTTATTTTTTTATTATTATCTAGTCTTTTCTAAATGTACGTACAATTGTATCAAAATGCTAACATCACATTACATTGCAGCTACATTTATTTAATTTTTTAAAAAAAATAAAATAAATTCACATGTTGTTATTAAAGCTTCAAATCCCGTGGTATATAAACTTGAGCTAACATAACTGCTCAAAATTTTGATAAAAAAAAATAGTAACTATAGTTCACTCTTTCTATAATAATAATAATAGTGGATCTTGCTCTATAACAGACTGAGAATTTAAGTTCAATTTATATGCCCCATATGTAAATAATCACTGTTTACAATGGACATTTTCGTAAACCATTATAGAGAATGAATTGTATATTAATATTTAAACACTACACTAGATTATGCTACATTATTTTCCACCATTACACTCTTCATATTCTTGACTTTGTTGTAATTCTATTAAAAAAAATAAGTAATTATGAGTATTGTGAATATTTAATCATAATATTAATAAAAACATATATCATTTGTGTTTTTTACCCACTCATTCGCAAGAGTTATTATTTTTTAAAGGTATTTTCTCAGTAACCTACAAAATACATGTTGGTTTTTTTGGTACTGAAATGAAGAGAAAACCTTGAAATATATATTTATAAATCTTATTTGTAGTTTTTTTATTTTATTAACCTTCAAAGTGGAATAAAACGTAATGTTACTCTCAAAAATTATTTTGATCATTTCTTATTAAATAAAAATATATGGTCAATCACTCCACCCTTAACATCCTTTCCGACAGCTTGAAAATTCTGGAAATTGCCAGTTGCATGTAACAATGTAAACAAAAAAGTTTTTTTTATGATGAATTTATTCCAATTTGTTGAAAATATTAGTAATAACCAAAGTAACCTATAAATCAATCAATTAATTTCTTGGAATTTTAAAAAATCTAGAGGGTAGAACGTTAAACAAATAAACAAATTTGAATGGCCTAAGCTTCACAAAATAGTAAGGCTCATTATCATTTAAATAGGTTAAGATTGCTTAATTTGAATCAAGATTATTTTTATTTAATTTATCAGAGAATCACATCACTCAAACAGTATTATTAAATATCTCCATAGACTTATTTTATGATGATGTTACCGGAATTAGATTTGGATGCTCTTTTGGCCGAATTTAACTAATTCCAAAATTCTTAATTTTTATTATTATTATATTTTATTTATTTCTATTTTTATTTTATTAATTTTATTTTATCCGTGTTACATCTATTTTTGTAATACGTTTTATTTTTATTTTTTATTTTTATTTTTATTTCTATTTTTATTTCTAATTATTTGTATAACGTCGTAATTTCTTTAACTTATTTAAGAAAGAATCGTCTTGGGATATCCTCACAATTTTGGGATATCGTCGCAATTTTGGGATATCGTCGCAATTTTGAGATATCGTCACAATTTTGGGATAACTTCTCAATATTGGGAGAATGTCTCAATTTTGGGAAATTAGAATTACTAATTAATTGAATTGTATATAAGGAGCTTGAATTCAATGTACTAGTAAAGTAACTTTGTAATAAGTTAATTAGTTTCGACTAAGAAAACTAAATAAAATAGTAATATTTTATTTAAATAAACTATTATCTTCTTTACCCAAAATTATTCGCTAATAACAAAATCAA